GTGGGCGGTGCGTGCGGTCAGGTACGAGCAGCGGCGGCCCCGGAGCATTTCCCCCCCCTCCCCGGGGACCCGGCGCTCCCCGTCCCCTCCGGGCTGACTGGCTCTGCCCGTAGGATGCCCAAGGCTAAGGAGTTGGCGGGGACGAGCAGCTCCGAGAGCGGCGCGGAGGAGGAGGGGAAGGTACCGCCGCCCCGGGGAGAAGGGGGAGCCGCCAGCGGAGCCACCCGGTCGGGTCCCGGTCCTCAGGGCAGGTGACACGCCTGTCCCGCCCGTCCCTGCTCGCATCCCCCAGCCGCAGGGGTACCTGGCAGCGGCCTCGGCCTCGGGCCGTGACTCCCGCCTGCTGCGGAGGGTCCGGTAGGGCCCGGGAGAAGGGGCTGTGGCTCCTCGGAGCGGGCTCCGCAAACCGGCGATCTCTCTTTCTAGAAAAGAAAGAAAGAAATGTCTTCTAAGTCAGAGAAAATGCTGAAAACAGTGGCTAAACCTTCAAAGAGGACAGAAAAGCCTCCAGGACAAGGCGGTGAGGAGGAGGGCATGTTCCAGGTGAGGACGGCGGGGGTCTGCTCCGGGAACGCACCCTCCTCCTTCCCGCAGAGGTCTCCACCCGCCTGCAGCGGAGCGTTTCGGTGGCTGAGCTGACAGCCTCGTGCCTGCCGTCCCTTCGCTGTCCCCGGACACCTGGGGGGACCCAGCAGGCACAGGAGCGGCGTGTTGAGGGGCTGGGTGTAATGCGGGTTCTGTGTTACCGCAGATTGGGAAGATGTGCTATGTCAGAGTGTCCTGCTTCAAGGGAAAGGTCCTCGTGGATATCAGGGAGTTCTACACTGACAAGGAAGGGAGCATGAAACCGGGGAGGAAAGGTACAACCACGTTTGCTGGTGGCAGCCAGGGGCCACGCCGGACTCTCCGCTCCGGCTGCTGGCTCTCCAGCTCTGGAGTCTCCCGTGGCGAAAGGGAGACCTGTGGGTGCCACGCTGAGGGCCCCAGGCACTGGGCAAACCACAGGGGAGGGTGTAGCACTTCTTCCAGGCTGGATAAAGCACACCCACAGCATAAGACACAAGATCTGTCAGTTAAAACAGAGATCACGAAGAAATGTATTTTCATTTAAATACTGCCTCTACTGTTTTTCTCAAGAGTTCTTGGCCCTGATCTTTATCTAGAGAATTTAATAACGCTTGGGCCCAGTTCTTTAATGTGATTCTTAACAAAGCCAAAAGGAACAATTGGACAACATCTGGCTGGACCCCACACAGCAGTTCCACTACCATGTTTGTTTTGTAAGGGAGAGGGACAAGACATCAAGACCTTGTCTCTGTTGGATCTAAAAAGAAAGAAGCCAGTTCTTTTCTAGTGTTTAAGCCACACTAGTGATTTCTTGTTAGCAGCTTTTTTTTTTTTTTCTTTTTTTTTTTTTTAACTAGAGCTAGAGTTGGCATTACTTCCTTTGGGTAATTGAAAGGATGGTGTCCTAATTGCTGTATGGAATAAGGTTCTCCTAGCATTTCTTCCTAGCTCATGTGAGTGGGAATTTGTACTAGGCAGTAGTCTATAAGGGGCTGTGGGACTCTTGAAAGGCAATTATATTCTTATATTCTCATACTATGCTTCTGTGATAGCATTGAGTATCCTCGATACAGATGCTGAAGTGCAGGCACAACTGCCATGTTTGGAAGGTCTGCGCCTCTGCCTCAGACCCATTTCCCTTCTGTAGCTGGTCTGAGGGAGCCAATCTCTTGTGCTACTTGATGTTTACCCCTTGCCTCCTCTGAAACCTCCCCTTCTGCTGTTTGTAGGGATTGCCCTGTCTGCAGAACAGTGGAACCAGCTGAAGGAGATAATTCCTGAGATCGATGCTGCACTCAAGAGATTTTAAGATTAAGAATATTGGACACCTTCAATCTGTTTCCTTTCCCTCAAGTGCACTGACAACTGTAAAACCCAGGATTCTCATCTGGAGCCTTCCCCTCACCTTGCTGGGGTTTCTTTGCTGAGGTGGTGGTCATACTGAAAAGACCAGAGACTCTTCTATTTTAAAAAGTAGCTTGTAATGAGGACCTGGAACTAGAGCCAGTGCTGTGAAGAGAGACTTCAGCACTTCTAGTCTCAAGCAGACTTGAGGTCTGTGCTGGTGAGGGACATGACCTCAACCTGGTTTTGCAGCGATGGGTGGCTTCAAGTCTGCCTGGTGGAATGGTTTAACTGCTCTACATCTGCTACTGTCTTCCGCTTGGTTGAATGTTGAGTAAGATGGTTTGTATACCTCATGTAGGCATCTGTGTTTCCTCCATATGTTATTCTGGCTATTTCAAGTACTCTTTGTGTTGTTGAGGGTTGTTTGGTGTTTTTTGGTTGGGGTTTTTTTTTTTGAGTGAAGAAAGGGATTATTATACTTTAGCAACTGGTTTGTCTGTAGAGGGTGAATACGCACAATAAATGTGTTTGCATTATAAAAAGGAGAGGCATAGTGTTTCACAGGCTGGCATCACAACTCTTTGTTTCAGGCACCCTTCTTTGTAGGTTGCTGTTGGATTTCCCTTTCAGAAGGAGAGTGCTCTGTAGTGTTTACTCTCATGATATGTTCCCAATAATCCTGCTATACAGAAGGAGTCACACAGCAGTCTACTCCAGGTCATGGGAAGGGCAAGCTAGAATGTGAATCATTCAAAAGAACTGGTAATTAGGAGGCCTATTAAATAGAGGAAAAATTAAAGGGCTAAGGAGGAAAAAATATTCCTTTCCCTCTGGCAGAGAAAAAAAACAAGCTATGGAAAGAGTGGAAAAAGGATATTTTATGCTTGAGCTCTAAATGGATCCCATTCTGGGATCAGCTGCAGCAAGCACAGCCTTCCTCAGCAAGACTTTTCCAGACTTTTCAACGGCTTGCGTTTTCCATCTATTTTTGGTTTTTCTCTTGCCCTGGTTTCCATAGTATCTGAATGCTTCATGCTCTTAAATATATCCACACTTGCAACACCTTGGTGAAGTAGGAGGTACCCAGCCCCTTGCTCTGTAAAGATGCTGGGGCTCAGGGCTGAGTGGAAGATGTGGGGTGGAGCGGTGAATTGAAACTAGGCTTTCCTAAATGCTGAATTTGTAAGTGCTGGATTAGTCTTTCATCAGGGATAACAGAAGAAAAAAATATATTTCTTGAAACTGTCCCTTAAAAAAATTTTGAAAGGCTTGGTGCTGTAGTTCCTTAGAGCGGGGGTGGAGATGGAAAGACTTGACGACTGAGGTATTCTCCTCTAATCTGGTGTTTGACTGTGCTCTATTGTCACAATTCTTTCTCTCAAGTAAGTGAGAGAGAGCATGAGGACACTAGACTGTGTCCTGAAGCCATGCTGTAAGCAATGTTTATAACATAATGTCTTAATACAGTGTTCAGAGGCTAAAGGTAATGGGAAGAAAATTTACCAAAAAAGGGAGAGATGCAAGAGAAGCAGATGCTGTCAGTATGAACCCAAGATGCTAGGGATGCTCAGTCCTTTTATTTTGTCACAGCCCTGGGATACCCAGTCTAAAACGTGACAAACAACTATGTCCATGTGTGATGCCTGCTTAAGGAATGTTTAAGGGGCAGAGGGAGAAGCCAGATCAAAACAGCATAGCTTAGTATCTTTGCTGATTAAAAGCAGGTCCAAACTGGACTTAATCAGCTCAACTGAATATCGCATGATTCTACAGCTGATGAGTAGCCTCCCCTTCACTGAGAAAGGAGGGCCATGTTCCATTGACTTCTGACTCCTTTTCTTCCAAGTGTTGGAAGAAACAGTTTGCAAACATATAGTTTGGGTTGTGTAACAGGCAACAAGGCTTTTTCATTATTTTTTTTTTAATCCTTAAACAACATCTGCTCTTGATCAGAAAGATATCTGGAATCTTTGATGTTCATTTCCAATCTAACCACTGTTATTGAGAAGTTCCAGTCAAAATCCACGTCTTAAAACTTAGTTAATTTTTGGTTTGTTGCAAAGTAAAAATATTAAAAAAACCTAATCTTAAACTGGTTGGGATAACAGATATCCAATGAAAGGTAAACAGCAAGGTCTTGTTAAACAAGAGAGGATGAAAGCTTATGGCAAGTTGTATTCTTACACAGAGGGTGTTTTTCTGTAAAGCTGTTAATGTGCTGTCTTGGAGCAGTTTTCTCTGCAGAACATTTTGCCCCAAACCAGAAACAAATACATTACAGGAATGAACTTTTCTCTTCTTGACACTATATTGTTGCTTGGATATTTTCTGGCAGGACTGTCTTAACTAGTCCTTTGGCTCTTCTGCCTGGGGAGCAAATAGGTAAGGGAAAACAGATTGTTTTGAAGGATCCTTTTTTTTTTTTTTTTTTTTTTT